TGTTGAGTCCCGCCGACTCCAGCCGTAAGCACTCGCCGAAGCCCAATTTTTCTGCGTCCATTGCGATGTCGAGCTGACCACCACGTCCAGCTTCTCTCCGCAGCGCCCCGGTACTCGGATCCACGCTCTGCGGTCGCTCTCGTTCCGCTGGGCTTTGCATAGTGTGGCCTCGAGTTGCGCCTACTATCCTGCGCGTGGACCCGCCGCGCAGCCGCTGATCTGCTTCTGCAACGCCCTTCTTCGCCTCATCGCGTGGAAGCGACTCAGTGACCCATTGCCCGCGCTCGTCGAGGAGGAAACAGGTGACCAGCTCGTCATCGTAAACCTCTTTCGTCATCCTGAGCTCAGAGAACCCGACAAACAGGCACTCGCCGAGTCCAGGTTCATCCGTGTCGATCGCGCCGTCTCGCCAGCCTCCAGCCCCCGCACTCTTCCAAAGATCCCCTTTACTCAGCTCCGAACTCTGTGGTTGCTCGCGTCCCGCGGGTTCTTGCGTTCTCGGGCCACCTGGCCCACCTGCTCGTCCAATCTCCCGTTGCGTCAGGTGCTCGGTCCTAGGGTTATCCGGGATCGCTCCCCCAAGGCGCACACGCTCGTGTACCAGGTACTGCGCTAACCATCTGCTCCGCTCGGCGTCCTCGTCAACGGTGCGTGTGTCGTCCTCCGGGGTCCATTCATCTGCCTGCTCAACTTCGCGCAGGGCGGCCTCGGCTTCGAGTCGCTGAATGTACCCCCATAGCCGCCGCCCGTCCTCCGCAATATGCCAGCACGCGACAAGGTCGTCCTCGGGTGCCTCCTCCGGTGTATCGGTGTCGAACTCGCCGAAGTCTCCTAGCAGCCATCCCTCTTCCGGCTCGTCTTTAATCGCGCACTCCTCTGACAAGTGGCCATTTAACGCTGCTGCTGAATCGTCCGCATCACTGTCAGGTCGCAAGGTCCGTAGCAGGTCGACTGGCGAGTCGATATTCTCGCTGACTTCAGCACAGTTCCCGCCCTCGCACGTACGGTCCAGTGGATCAAATGTACTGTCTTGAGGTTCGTCGCACGTAGCTGTCGCCTGTACTCTGTGCAGCCAAATGGCCTCGTCTCGGTCGCCTTTTCTCGGCCTGAAGCTCGCGCCCTGGTCCGTTTCGCTGACCGTATGCGCAAGCCTGCCCATCCTGCCTCCTTGCCACGGTACATTTGCGTCCACGAGGTATCCGGTCTGCTGACTGCTCGTCCCCTCGTACTTGGAGCGCGCGTCGTCCTTGGTTTCGCTCAACAACTGCTCCCCGGCTGCTATCCGTCTCGGCACCCTCCATGTCTCGCCACGGCCGGTACGTTCATCCGCCCGCTCCCCCATACTCGGCTCAGCACTCGCCTCCTGGTTCGTCTCGCCGCGACCATATACGCGTCTGGCTCTCGCACCTCGACACCACGGTACGTCCGCATCGTCCGCTGATAGTCCGTTTGGCTGGCTGACCTCGAGCAGGTTTACTTGTAAAATCCCGACTTCGCGACCGCCGTCCAGTGCGTACTCGCCCGTTTCCTCTCGCTCGGCCTGTCCATCCTTGGTCTGTGCGCACGAAGACGTTCCCGGTTCGCCTTCCAGCCGCAGCGTGTACCTCGTGTCATTCTCGCCACTCCTCTCCTCAGTCACCTCCCCCTTACTCGGCTTCAGGCTCACGGTCTGCTCCGTCTCGCAGCGCGCGAGTCCACCTCTTGCTCTCTGACGTACGGGGTCCCCTTGCTTACTCTCGGGTCGCTCCGGGCCTCGCATCTCGGGCTCGGGCTTTCCTTTACTTGGCTCCAAGCTCCCGCCCTGTTTCGTCTCGTCGCGTGCACGTACGTCTTCGAGGTTCGCTTTCAGCCCATATGACTGGCTGATCTCGACCAAGTCCTCCTGCGGTAGCCCCTCGCCATCGCTATCCTTCGCGCGCGCGCCCGCTTTCCTACACTCGGTACGTCCGTTCTTTCCTGCCGTGCGTATTGATGTCCTTACTTGAACCTGTTGTCTCGCCGTCTCCTGCATCTCGCTCGGTTCGGTGTCTTCACCCGCGGGCTCGGACTCCCTATTACTCAGCGGCAGGCTCACGTCCTGGTCCGTCTCGCCGTACGCCCGCGCGTGGCCATCCGCCCCCAGTGGTTCGTCAGTTCCAGCTTCTCCGGTCGGTCCGTCTTCGCCTCGCATTTGCAGCGAGATTCCCTTGCCTGTCGCTTCCATATCCCCGGTAACTCGGCCCCTGGCTGTACTCTCGTTCGGTGAATGCTGCTCGCCGCCATCGCATCGTCCAACTGAAGTGCTCGCCCTTCCCCGGCCCAGACATGTTACTAGCTCCTCGTCCTGTAGTACGTGGTCTTCCTGCTTCGATTCGGCCTCCCCGCTCAGCTCCAGACCTCGTGTCTCCTTGCATCCACCCTTAGTCTCAGGAAGCTCCTCGTCTGATGCCTCTCGCGGACCGGGTTCGCTCAGTCCGCAACCGTCCACCTCCTCCGGCACCGCCAATCCTAGCCGCTTGCTGTCAGACTCACTCGACTCATCCGCTGGACTACCGTTTCTTGCCATCGCATCCCCCCTTGGGCCCTCGTTCAGCTGGCTCTCGACGCACGCGTCCGTCATGATCTGAGACCTGCTCCCCCCTTCTCGCTGGCGAGCGTTTCGACTGGCTGTTCCCTCGCGGACCTCGCCTCATCGCTCCGCAACGATGATTCGGGTTGGACTTGAGGTCCCATGGCGTGTACCGCCGTGCTACACCCAGTGCGCTCGCTAGACGGCTCGGAGTCTCCTTGACTTGTCTTGAAATGCCTTGGCTCGCCAGGCCTGATACAAGGCGACTGAACACTTCCCTCCGCATCAACCCAGGCCCCGACTGCTGTACACGGCCCGCGATCCCCCTGCTTTGCTTGATCGATCGGCCGCTCCATCGCGCCCTGGGTTCGTGCAGCCTCCGTTCGCCTGTGCTCTAGTCTCGAGCCCTCGTTCCACTTGCTTCGCCACCGAGTTGTCCCCCTCCTCTCGTTGCCTCGCGACTGTACACGTCCCTGTGTGCCTTCACATCCTCCGATCGTTGGAATACCGCCCGTCGGTTCCGGCAGCGCGCCTCGCCAGATGGTATCGCATGCGAATCGGCTCAATAGGTCGGGAGCCCCTTTTGACCTCAAGGGACGACAGACGACGCACACCCACTCTGCGAGTCGGGAGACTAGTGGTCCTGTACTAGTGAACTGCGCAGGCCCTGTTCCATACACTTGAGTGCTCGTCACCTTGGATCCTCTCTCCCCTAGCTCCGCCCCTTCAGACAGACCTTCGTCGACGTCACGGACCTCGACATGCTTGCTATCGGCAGTCTTACACCTCAGGTACTGTAGCCCGTGGTCGCGCATCGAACCGTTCGCTCTACGGTGCTTACTGGTGCATCCGTTCTCGCCCCTGTTTCGCGCTGACCATCTGTGTGCATACGTCTGGTCCGCGTCCTGTTGCTGAACATCCTGGCAGTCGGCTTTCCCAGCCTCTCGTCTTGTGGGCTGCGTGCACCCTTCGCTCTCCCCTCGTTCCCTCCGGCACGCGTAATCCTCGTCCGTCGCTATCGTTCTCCCGTGCCTGCCAGCGAACGACTTGCTGTCCCCGTTCGGCATGCCCGTCGGCCTCTCTGTCGCTCTCGCCGAGGTCTCCTCCGCTGTCTGTCGACCGTGCTTGCTAATACCCCACTCTTCGCTCCCTCCGCAGTCAGCGAGTTCCTCCTCCGTCGAGGTCCTCACGCACGCTCCCGTTCCCTCCGCCTCTTGCTCCCGTGGCTCCAAGTCGCCGCTTCGGCCTATGATCCTTTGTTCTACAGCCTCCAGAGGCTCCTCGAACTCGCCTCGTTCCTTCCGGCAGGGCTCAGCCTCGAAGCTCGCGCTCGGCACCGTTCGACCATCCGTCTTCTCGCTCCCGTCCTCCGTCCTCTGATCTCCTCGGTTCCCTCTGTGCTGGGTACCTCGTTCTTCTAGCCCCGCATCCACCCAATCCGACTCCGCACGCTCTTGACCTTGAGGTTCGCCTACTGTTCCCTCCGCGACGTAGTCACTCCCGGTCACTGCGACTCTCGTGCATTTTCCGGCGATCTCAGTCGTCGACGCGCATACCCACGTCCGCGCTGCTTCCTCGCGTTCCTCGCGTAACTCCCGCTCGCCGTCTTCACCTGTTCGTCCCGACGCGTATCGGTATCCTGTTTGCTCTCTTCGTTCCCTCCGGCGCGCGGCTTCCTGGACGCTCGTTCTCACCTCGCCCGTGACTACTCGACTCCGATCGATTTCCGTCCCGTCCTCCCGACCTGTTCGACCGGACACAGTGTGCTGGTTCCTTATGACTTGGGTGGGGGCGTGCCGTGACTCTCGCGCGACCGTGCCAGTTCGAATCGCTCCGCTGTCGTAGGTAGTCTCGCAATAGATGCTCTTCACCTCGGCCCACCGCACGACCCGAGCTTGAGTTCCTGTACGCGCATCCTCGTTGCTTCCTCTCTTGTCCGCCCGTATCTCTGAGTCCCCGTCACCCTCACTCCTGCACTGGCCGTAGTCGCCCGCAGCGGGCCCAGACTCCTCTCCAGGTCGACACTCCCCCACTTCGGCTCCCGGTGAACGACAGCCGTTCTCGTCACCGCCATCCAGTTCCTTCCGAGGAGACACTCCGCCCATCGAGGGCTCGTGTACGTGTATCATCTCCTTCCGCGCGAGTGCGACTGACCATGTCGAAGAGAACGACGGTCCCGCAAGAGCCCGAGTTCCATCCGCGTCCTGCTCCCGTACCTGCCAGGTATCGACTCGACCGGCGATGCTTGGTCTTGCTACCTCCTCAAGCTTCCCCCGCTCCCTCCGAACTCGGTACGCATCACGCTCGAGGTTCACCCATTCCGTATCCACTGCTAGGCTCTCGTTGCTTTCCTTCCTGTCCCCGCATCCCGTTCCTTCCGACGCAATGTGCTCGCCCGCCATGGCTTGAAAGCGGGATGAGTTCGGGTCCGTGTATTCCTCTAGCTGTGACTCCCGATTCATGCTTGTCTGTCTCGCCGGTTCTTGCGTTGCAACAGCCCCGACGTGAGCGGGCGTCCCTTCCGATGACGAGTTTGCGGTTTCCGAGTCCGCCGGCTGGCCCCTTCGTGCGTGCCTATCGAGGCCCAGACCTGCTCCGTCGCATTCGTTCAGTCGTGACTGTTCCGGCGACTCACTTGCACATAGAACTGTCCGTCTCGTCGCCTTTTCACGCCCGAACCGTTCCCACTCGTTCGCACCTTCCGGCACCGAGACCCTGACGTCCTCTGCACCGCTGGATCGCTCGCCTCGAGTGTCTGCTTCACCTAAGGTGTGGACCCTCTGGTCGTGGCGCCCCCACCTGTACGCCTCGTACGCTGTTCCTTCCGATCTTACGGTCTCGCAGCCATGGACCGCCTCAGGGCCTCTCGCGCTTCGCCAGATCGAGTCGTGTGCAACCAAGCTACTAGTATTGAGGAGACGTGCAAGCCGTGAGAATGCGCGCCCCGTATCTTCGACCTGAGCGACTAGCGAGACGCCAGTAGGCTGTGCAGACCACGGTTCGGGCGCTCGAGCGATCTTCTCTGGCTGGAATGCTCTCTCCGCCCACTCTGCCTGCGACTGCTGGTGGTCCATGTCCCGGCTCTCGTCGTACTCTCTCTCGTCCCCGGCGACCATGCTCTCTTGTTGAACTCTCGCCACGTCAGCACGCTCCCGGCCGCAGTCGCATCCATCGCCGCTCTGCTGCGTGCCCGAAAGCCGCGCGTCATTAACTCCAAGCCCGAACGCGCTCGTCCCGTGCTCCTGCACACGCAAGAAAGTTCTCGCGGAGGGAGATGCATGTCCGAGGTACGCATGATCGGTGGAGGAAATCCCCTTGGTGAGCGTAATTTCTGTCGCTCGAATCACGACCCGTCTGAACGCCTGCGCTTGTCGCTCCTGCTGCTTGCGCGTATCTAGCTCTGCTGCCGTCGCACTATCCCGCCCTACGGTATCTTGCCAGATGCCTGACGCGTGCGTCGCCTCCGTATGCGTGCATGGTGCGCCTCGTGGAGCTGGTATGAGGCCTTCGACTCGCGAAAAGGGTGGGCAGCTTGTCACTGGACTTCTCCCGGTACGCCTGTCCTTCGACACTGTTGTCGCGACCCGCCTAGTTGCCCGTGACACCTGTGCAGCTTGCTGGTACAGCCGAAGCCAGCCGTTTCCGGTTTTGAAGACTCGTCTTGCCGCCAAGAACTCTCCGACCTCCTTCTGTTCCTTGCTACACGCGCTAATGGCCGCGCTTGAAGCCTCACCACCCGCCACCCTCTTCTCGTCACGGCCTAGCTCGCCATCGAAATCCTGGCCGTGCGCAATACCCGTCGCCGCTAGGTTCTCGCATGCAACCCTCGCCCGCCGTGAGTCTCTCGCTCGTCGTCCTAGCTCGTCTTGCTCGCTCGACGCCCCGCCTGTGCCGCATCCAGGAATCCCTATACTCCCGTCAGTTTCTTGTTCGAGATCGCTTACACTCGAATCCTCGTAGGTCCGCACTTGGTTGACTAAGTACGCCGCATCCGTTCCTTCTCGATCTCCTCGTATCAAGGCCAGTATCTCCCCGCACGGTGCCCTGTGTCGGTGATCGACCTCTGCAAGACATGTGTCTCTCCTCGTAGTGATTCCGCCGGTGAGTCTAACCTCCGTAGTCACATCGCGTGCCTGTCCTGATGCTCGTGTTTCCGTTCCAGTTCGCTCCCTGAGCCGCGGGTGATCGTCCTCGACCGTGAAGACTCGTCTCGGCACCGCCAGCAGATTCCCGACCTCTTCCTCTATCTCCGCGCCGTGGTGGTGCGCCTTGTACTCACGGTGGTCGATCGTGTACGTCTCAGTCGCGGCCTGCACCTTGGCCAATGGCGTCTGCTCGCTCGTCTCCCGTGCGTGCCCCTCTTGCTTGCGCATATCCTCGCCTCCGATGCTGGTGTCACTCGTTGGCCCTGACCCCTGGATCCTCTGCTCGCGTGCTCGGTTACTCGCTGGACTCCAGGACCTGCAGGTTGAACGCTCGCTCCGGCTTTTGTGGCTCGCAGTTTTCAGCATTCCGAGGCTGATCGACGCTCGACAGGCTCCGCCCTCCGAAGTCGCCCGCTCATCTCTCGTCGTGACGCGCTCGTACAAGCCCAACAAGCTTGACAGATATACTGATTCTAGCGGAGCACCTTGCTCGTCCCGCCGTCCACTCATCGCTATGGGGCCTTGACTTCGTTCGGATGCGCCCGCCGGGTGCGTCTTCTCTTGTGCCTGGCTCGTGGTACTGATGCCTGGTTCCGAAGGTGCTGATTCGCTTAACCACTTCTGCATGCTGGCGGGTCCCCTTCCAATGCGCATGTCGACTCCGGGCTCGGACATCGTTGCCGATATACGTGACGCGTTGTGGAAGGATTCGTCAAATAGGGGCAAACCACTGCTTGTCGTAGCCATAGGCATCTGTGTCATAGAGCTCACATTACCCACATACACTTCCCAGCTACTTCGTCTATCCATCGCGTGTCGCCCCCGCGAACCGGTAGTCTCTCCTCTGCGCAGGCCTTCAAACCCAAGTGCTTGCTCGTGAGTGCTTAAACTGTCGCTGCTCGTGTTCGTCCCCGGTCTCGTCGTCATGGTCAGGCCCTCATACTGGGTAGCTCCGTCGTGTTTCCTCCCCGTAAGACCTGCTACTCCACTCCAGAAGTCGCGAAGTGCGAGTGAGCTGCCTCGGTGAACATGCGAGCGTACGGTGATGTGAGTGTCCGGGTCGACTGTCCTGCCAGTACCGCGAGAAGTGTCCTCGGCTACTACTAGGTCGCTGCCCGTACGCACAAGAACTCGCTCCTGTATGCGTGTCGTCGTCTCCCGTCTCTGTCCGTCCGCGGCAATGCTCGTGCGTGTGGCTGGTCGAGTCTCGTGAACGCCGTGGTTCCGTATCTCCGTGGATTGGGCGATAGTGCCGCTTGCGACGAATGTGTGCATCGCGAGATGGTCGTCGCCTGCAGGTGCCGTAACTGGCTCGGAGTTCACGGTCGCGCGTCCCGTAGCTTGCTCGTAGGTCTGAGTTGTAGATGCTGAGGCCGTGAAGAGGCGGTCGAGTGCGTACGTGCCGTCGTCTCCGAGACAGCCAGTCGCCGACTCCGTGATAGACCTGAACCGTTCCGTTGTGCCGGTCGATTTCGCAACTACGTCCGCTTTGCGCGTTGGCGTCGATTCCGCATGCACCGTAATGGTGGACTGATGATGGAGGGTATAGTAGATGTTGACTCGCCTGTACACAGTCGCAGTAGTGACTCTAGCCATGTCTTGATTGCACGCCAGCCCTCGTTCCATATGTGACGTACTTGTAGTGGATGGGAAGTGAATGGAATGGATTGTGTGCGCTTGCCTGTGCTGTGAATGCGATGACGCGAAGCTGTAGGCGGAGCGGAAGAAGCACGAATAGGATACCACCCCTCGCGGTGGGCTCCAGTTGTGTGGCTCGGGAGTGGGATACCCCCGGGCGCGATGATGTTCGAGGGGTGGGGTGATCCGTTGCTTCAGGGGTAAAGGTGACATGGGTGGATGGGGGTGTACTATGAGAGTGGAGGGGAGACGTGCCGGGGAGTGATCTCACAACGATGCCTCAGGCTCGCTGACCTCGTCCTCGGTTCTCCAAGCCTCGCAAATCCCTCTGTTTCCGACTCGTTCCTTGGACTCTGTCCTGTCTCGACCTTGACCTCGTTCCGAAGGTGCCTTACTCTCGCTCTGCAGTCGCTACGCTTGCTGAACTTGTTCCGCGGTCGCCTCGTTCTCGTTCCGTGGTCGCCCTCCTCGTTCCGCAGGTTCCTGTGCTCGTTCCGCGAGCTCCTAAGCTAGCCCTGCTGACCTTTGTACTCGTTCCGCGAGCTCCTACACTCGTTCCGCGAGCTCCTATGCTCGTTCCGCGAGTTCCTATGCTCGTTCCGCGAGCTCCTAAGCAAGTCCTGCTGATCCTTATACTCGTTCCGCGGGCCCCTATGCTCGTTCCGCGAGGTCCTATGCTTGTTCTGCAAATCCCTGTACTCGTTCCGCGAGTCCTTGTCCCCGATTACGTGGCGCTGCGTTCGTCCGAAAGATTCTTGACGGCCCGAGTAGATCACTGATGACCAACCCGGGGAGATGCCCTCAGCTCCAGAAAATGTGATGAGAATGGGTGCGAGCCTGGCTCGCAGCCGTAGATTCAGAGTGGGGGAGAACTAAGGTATGTACATGTCTTCGTGGCACTGTATGCCACAAAAGCTGACTAAGAGTCTCTAGTTACTATATATGGTAATCAAAAGCAAATCGCACAAAGTCCATGAAGTACAGTAAGGTGTAGGGTATCGGAGGGAACAAGGAAGGTAGTCCATGTGCTCGGAAGGAACATGACAGTCCAGAGAGCCCAAAATAGGTGAATACACATACTGTCCGGGCCTATGTGGGGGCCACTCCCCACAACGCGGAGATGGTCATCGAGGGACGACGGTCGATCGTGACCTTCCGCAACGCCTTACACGTACCAGAGCTCACCGCAAATCTCATCTCGGTCTCTCGGATTGACGGGAGTGGGGGCAACATCCAGATCAGGGGAGGAGAGATGCGCATATCCGGGCCAGCAGGAGGCGACCCCATCCTCATCGGAACGATGACAGCAAACAACCTATACCAGGTCGTCCTATCCCGGGTCGAAGGGAAATCGATCCCAGACACGAGCGGTGCACCGGGAGACCCAAACGCCTTGGCATCGCTGACGAACGCGCGAGCCGCCGACATTCATACCTGGCACCGTCGCTTTGGACATGCGAGCGAGCGTACAGTAGCGGAGATGGCGAGGTCTGGAGCAGTCGTGGGCATGAAAGTCATCGGGGGAATGCCAACGGGGAAGTGTGAGGATTGTATCCAAGGCAAGCACCCCGCCGCGCCATTCACCCCTTCCAGCGTCGAGAAGGACACCTTAGAACGAGTCTATATCGACTTAACGGGACGGGCCCGCGTGCCATCGCTGGGCGGCGCGTACCACAGCATGACCCTCAACGATGGAGGATCGTCCTTCGCGGCACTCGATCTCTTGAAAACGAAGGAGGCGTCCGAGACACTCGCGTCATACAGTGGTTATAAGACGATGGCGGAGCTTCAGACTGGCAAAAAGCTCCGACGTATCCGTACCGACAACGGCCACGAATTCGACAACGACCTCTGGCGAGCCTTCAATCGCGAGCATGGTATCATTCACGAAATGACGACGCCCTATACCCCTCAGCAGGATGGTGTCGCAGAGCGCGGACATCGCACCTTAGGCGATCATGCCAGATCGATGCT